TATAGTCCTTCCATGAGTAAAATCACATTGCATTCTTTTAACGCCGTCCTATCTATATGATTATGCACCAGTTTTGAAAACTCTGCATTCTGCCCAAAGAATGCTTATGGATTTTCCACACATCATTAACAGATTTGTCTTTGTAATGGAGACACGAGTTCCCTGTGAGGTACGAACTGGATGTCTTAAATATTACTTATATAAACTTCATGCTTCAGATGATATGCTTATTAAGATATTTTAGACCATTTAATTTTGCTGGGGAAATTTCTACATAATGGTTATAAAATAGGACTGAACCAATCAAACGTAATTTTATAAAATCCTCTGCAGAGGCCGCAGCAGAATTGGTCTATATTAATTTTCGAGGATGAAAACTGATGAATACAACGAACTACAATAAGTACTGTACTCATTATTCAATATAAAATTTATATTATACGTTATTCTTAAAATGAAGAAAAATTGGTGTTGAATGCTCCATAATTGGCTCTTTTGTGACTGAAATGTGACTTAAATTATATTCAGATCTTTGAAAAGTTAGGACCGCCTGAGGCAACGTTAGCTTGACAGGTGACATGACAAATTTGTAAATAATAGAATTCCACTGGGGAACTTCCATGTGGAGATGTGAGCCTAACAAAGCAAGTTTCATTCTTGGCTTACCAAGGGAAGCCTTTTGTTACATTCTCGTTCACATGCAAATCCCAGAAATCAACTCCAGGCTACGACGACCTGTTGTTAGTAAAAAGAAATTACACTCAGACTTCAGATAAAAATTAAATGAATAAATATACCCATGCAGTTTTAAGACATCTTAAAAATGGAGAAACTAGTAACATTTCCAGGGGTCCCCAGTGCTAGGTGCCATGTCTGCGGACAGTCTTTCTACGGAAGCTAAACAGCTGCTCGGCTAGTCAAGTTACCCGAAGGTTCATTGCCGAGTTAACAAGAGCCCACCTAGGCCAGATCACATCCTCACATCCTATTTCTTTATGATCTATTTTTATATTGTCACGAGTATCCTAGTAACGCGACAAGAAATTAATAGGTTCCGGATTAGGTGAAGCGATTTATTGGATAAGTTGATTACAATTACTCAAAAATAAAGTCCTCCACACGATGCAACCCGACTAGTCTGTCGTCTTCTGTTTCTTAGCTGGATCTTCTGTCCAATATCTCATCTTCTGGTGTAATTTGGCTTCTGAGTCTCAGCTCCCAGCTCTGCTGATTTCCTCTTGCCGCTGTTGGCGTCCTTTCGCCGCCATTACTCACTCCTAACTCGTAACTCTGGAATTCTGCTCTGAGCTGTTCTGTCACTCGTAACTGCCGTGAACTAATTCTGTCGCGAATCGAACTGACAGCTCACGGCTGTCGCTATATAGTCGCGGCACGAACACACAGAAAACACTCTCTGTTGTTGCAGAGACGTGCTTACATCGTCGTTGCATAGCAACGGTCGCTGCGTGGACCGCATAGAAAACACACTCCTTCGTTGTCGGCAGTATTGCGTCACCTAGTAACCAGCTGTAGCATTGCCTACAGCGAACACACTTTCCATTGTTGCGTATTTACCGGGAAGTGTTTATCGAGCCGTTGCCTAGAAACGCTTAGGGGGTCCACGTCACAATGTTATCTACCTATCTACGTTTATGTCTACAGAATTGTCTTGTTCTTTAATGTTTTCCCATTTCGGTGTCTTATGAATTTCCCATGCAAATCCCATGTTCTTTAATTTGCCTGTCTTATTAATGTTTTATGAAAAACGCAAATTACAAAGCTCTTCATTATGCAAATATATTTTCAAAATCATATTTATTCGTGCTCTTACATCTAAACACTGTCCTCAGAAGTCTGAGCTTTAACACTATCAAGTTTTTGTTATTTATTGCTCTTATTTATTAAAATAATCAGTTAAATGTTGTTTACACCTGACACAAATCATGCGCAATTTTTGCGCCAACAGGCTAGATAACACGCGAACCATCTAAAGTACTAATTTTATCGTCGCTTTCTCATAACGGCAGTATAAGAACCTGCTCTAGTAATTAGCAATCCGCTTGTCGCTCCAGTGTTCCACAGACTGCAATTTATGCCGTAAATGAGCCTGACTGTTTACAGCACTGCAAACAGAATATCGAGCCAAAACAAGAAATTTTCTGTCGGCTGTATTATACACCTACACGGCTTGAAACACAATAGCACACGCCTGGTCTGGCCCCCGAGGAAGCAGTGCTGCAGTCTGTCCGTGCAGTTAATACATGGAGGTATTTATTCTATTCAGTTGTCTTTATTTTTAAACGACCTTTCATGACATACAGAAATTTCCTGTCAGCTACGTTGTCTGTTGAATACACATACCTGCAGCATACGCCCAATTGGAGAGGTTCTCGTATGCCTACATTTAACATGGAAAGTTTTGTACAAAATTCAGCCTCGTGATCTATTTTTGGAAACTTGATGGTCACTAAATTTTGTTATAACTTATTTTGTTTTATGTTAACTACAGCGAAAAAAATACTGGATTGCGGGTACAGATTACAGTAAAAGGTAAAACTATCCCTGTGAAAGGCCGTGAAGGCCCATAAGGTTGTAAGACGTCGCGACTCCCACATTTTCTAGACAATCGGCTCACAGATAGCGGTGAGGTTGTCAGCCTTATGCATCAGCCGCCCTTTACACCCCAGGAAGATTCCTGGTACTCATTTCTGTTTGAGGCTGAGTCAACCCGGGGCCACAATGTGGCTGGAAGGATTAGGTCAACCGAAAAAAAAACGAAAACAATGACCTCATCGGGACTTGAACCCGCGACCTTCCGGATTGTAGCACAGTGCCTCAACCAACTACACTACCACGTGCCCATACAGATTATAGCACTATAATAAACTTCATTGATAATAAAAATGAAATTACAATCGTACAACAACAAAAAACTTTCAATAACAGAAGTTTAAATGAACGAAAAGTTTTCGGAAAAAAGACAAGGATATATGATTATATGCATAACGTAGTTGGCCGCGCCATAGCTCAAGCGGTTAGTCGCTGGCTTCCCATCGCGAAGCCCCGGGTTCGATCCTGTGTCTGGTCAAGTTGGATTTGTGGTGGACGAAGTGGCGCTAGGGCGGGTTTTCTCCGAGTACTTCGATTTCCCCTGCCAATCTTCATCCCACCAAATTCTCCATCATCATAATCACCCGGGAATGCTACAATAGGCCAATCAGTGGCCGCCGTGCCGAGTGGACCCAGTTGGAATCAACACCACACTAAGTGAATTAAAAAAAAAAATATACGCCTTACGTCAGAGTAAAATCAACTTTTAAAAACTGATAGCGAAGTCTGTGTATTGACAGCAACAATTTGGTTTCGAAAGAATGAAACAGCACGAATGAGGTTTTAGAAGGAAACAGAGACATCAGAACAAAAACCAGATGCTCCAGGCATGACCAGCGGAAGTGAGAACTGGCAAGGAACTTGTGCTCAGAGTGAAGACAAATAACTTAGCTAACCGACACTGGAATACAAATCACTGTGACAAAGATATTCAGGACGCCCGTAAAGCGGGGGGAAGCGCCAACATGGGGAGGGTTTAGGAACGGACAATTAGCCCTATCTTGCACAGTTCGTGATGTGGAATTTACTGTAACTATAAGAATAATTTATATTCGCGTTCTTTGAGATGAATAGTTTCCCTATAAAAACAGAACCAACTTAAAATGTAATCCAATGCTGCTGTCATATCTACAGTTTGGCTCTTCAAATAACTTCTGTCTCTTACGTACAGTGCTCAACACGTCACATCTGTGGACGCGTTTCTTATATGCTTCACGGGTGCTAACAAGGACCTATGCTCACTGTCATCGAGCTCACTGTCCTTTTATGTTCAAAGGAGTTACGAAACTCACTCGTTCCTTGAAAATAGAAAGTTTAGACGCCTGTACCAGCGTTCAGAAATTCTTCCAAAAGGAAACCTGGGCACGGATATTCAGCTACAAGTACGCAATGTGATAGATTGTAACTGAGATTAGCTCTTTCTAAGGGGCCTCCCCCCCCTCACCTCAGGACGGAAACAGATGCAGTTTCCGGAACGTGGTGTTTTCTGTTTTCTAGAATACCGGACGATGGAAAAAGTCCAAAACCCATTAATTCTGTGCAATAATGTGAAGGTTCATTTTGACGAATTATGACGCACATGTAATGCATTGCCTGTCTCTATTCTACCGGTTTACAGCCTAATGCACACATGGCCTCATGTCCTGACTTGTGGATGAGTGGCCCTTCACCATCTGTGTCTTGTTATTTGGATTCAAGCCGATAACTGAAATAACTTCATTGTCGGCCCCGTGTTATTTGTGTACCTATAGATATATACTGTTGTGCAATACAAGTTACTCTGTTGTTCTCATGTTATTGTTGATGGAATACCGTTCTGCGAGCGTGCGATCAGCCAGCAGAGTCGGACGTACCTCACGTCAAGTCGGGCCGACCCATAGCACATAAACTCGCTGTGGCTACACTTGGTATGAAAATCACTTCACGAAATCTTCATAAGAATAAAGCAGGTTCAGTAATGTATACTACTACTACTACTACTACTACTACAATAATAATAATTATCATTAGAAAAGTAAAGCTGTCCCTCTGCTTTATTAATTAAACACCACACCATGAAAACGTATAAGAGAGCAGAGGTATAGAGCTCCACCACTCTTTGCCTCGACACTAGATGGAGGTTAGTGGTCAGCTTCGCGTCCCGGTCGCTTTACCCCCCAGGAAGATTCCTGCTATTCATTTCTGTTAGAGACTGAGTCGATCTCATGGCCACAGTGCGGCTGGAAGGATTAAGTCAACTGAAAAATAACAGAGACCTCATCGGGAATCGAACCCGCGACCTTCCGGATTATAGCATAGTGCATCAACCAACCACGCTACCGCGTGCCTACCTTTTTAATGATAGTGATGATGATGATAATAATAATAATAATAATAATAGTCACACTTACCAGCGGCGAGTAGAATGCTGAGCTATCGACGCCGATACTGGGGTAAGGGTTCTGGTCGGTGGACGGGTAGGGGGTGCCATAGACGCCAACCCCTGACGTCGACAGCCGAGGATAGGATGAGAGGGCAAGTCTTGCAGAGTCGTACTGACAAGAGCAGACGGTCTGGCCCGATACTGGGTCTGTCATGATGGGGCGCCCGTTCTCGCAACACGAAGTGGCGCTCGCGGAGGGCGGCGCACCGTTACCTGTCGCGCCGCCGCCACTCCCCGGGGACACCGCCCCGGCTGTCACGCCGGACCCTGAACTCGCGCCCGCACCAAGAGGCGGGGATGTGGCCGTCGTGGGCTGTCCGGCCACCAATAACTGCGGACATAAGACAGTTTCCACAGTGAAATTATGCATCCGCAACCTGAAAACAGTTGAGTTAATACAGCGCTAATGACTCATCCTGCTATCGGCAGTTACAGCAGCCATCTGTGAGGAATGTTGTACCCGGTTAGCGCTGTAGCCAGGTTTCCTCGACGATTAAACACCCTGTAGAAGTTTATAAATACGTGCAAGTAGTGCAAGCCCCCCTTAAAATTCAACTGGAAATCATTTAATACGTGTCTTTATTCTTAACCTTCTTTCATTTCATTCACACCTGTATTTCGTTCCCTCCTTTTTTCGTAAAGTGGATTTAACGTTTTTATTCTTCAGTTGGCACAGTTTTCAAACGCAGAGCTGCCACTTTGTTAAGATACATATAATCACAAACCATCTCCTATTTCATAGTTCACAGTTCTATACGGATTCTACCTGTAAGGGACTTCCCAGCTTTTACGTCTATTGCATCATTTAAACAGTTGAAACGCGGGAAATTGGCCACTTACAAAATGGCGCGCCACTTCTGAGACATCGTAGAGTGCAACAAATTTCTGAAGCAATTGTGTCGTATCTACGCGCTCTACCTAAATTAAAATAATGACGCGCTTACGCCCAAGTGTAACTACGGCAGCACTCTCCTTTAATATACAAAGGCTTCATTCTACAAGAACGTGGCAGAAATGATATCTCAGTCTAGTCCTAAACAATATACGGCTTTTGAAACTTCCAAGCCTATGCAACAACAGGGATTTAACTCAGATACAGTTATCTTTCCCACGTGTTTTTCTATTTTAGGAATACCGAGCCCTACAAAATTTTATTATTTTTCCCCATCATGTGCTCCTTTGGTCCATCAAAATTTAGGAACACAGTTCGTCTTCAATGAGAATGATGTATGAAACCAGTAAACATGTTATTACGTTATTCTTGGATATAGCACTGTGTAGTTTTATAAAATGTATGTAAGTTTGCATACAAGACCTATAATCTCGTGGGTAAAAAAAATAAAAATGCCTACTACAAGCATTTAGTAGACACTACAAATAGGTGAGTTGGTCCCACTCAAAATTCTGCTTATTACATGCCTTACTATCTTGACAAACTTGTAAAATATCAGATGAAGTATATCCTGTACCGGAGCTAATATCAGATGAAGTATATGCTCTACCGGAGATAGTATCAGATGAAGTATATCCTGTACAGGAGCTAAATTAATGACTGCTCGTAAGCGTCAGAATTCCAGACTCCTTGGCCCTGCCAAAATCCAAAAATTTCCATATAAACACCGTACTGCACGTCAAAGACAATGGAACACGATATTATAGATCATGATAAATTTCCAGTAATATCGAAATATAAGATTCTGAATTTAAAATTACCGAGAACCAAGTATAAATAAAGTTCCCGGCCACTTATAATTATGCAAATAAAAAATTGGATAGGATTGATCAGCGTCAATAGTGTCCAGATTGTTAGTAATGCTCTTTTTATTTTCTGTTACAACGTTCGACCACTGAAAATAGTTGATATATTCAGTAAAGTCTCGCTACAAGGGATTAATGGGGGGAGGGGGGGGCAAAGTGTCCGTTATAACTGACTGAAGGGGTACTCACGGAAGTACACCATAGCATACATATCCAATACACGCAACAAACATACAAACCTACTGTATGATTACATGAAAGTTATGTTAGGTTTCCTTTTTATTTTAAATAGTTCTCTAACTACAAAACCTTCTTAGTGTCTCAACATCTCTAAAAATTCAGAATCGTACACAGCTAGATCGTGTCTCCTATATCGGGGTCCGTTATAACGAGTGCTTACTGCAATTAATTTTTATAACTACAGATTTACTCTCGTAAAACTCTTTTTTTCGTCCGCTGTTACTTCGAAACACGTTTACTGGCACCTAGTTTCACAGTATTATAAAGATAAGCACCCACAATTAAGTAGACACGTTGGACTGTGTATGCATGGAGTATAACTGGGGCTCTCATATCTTTCCTCGTAGGTTTCATAGGCATCAGTTTCATTATAATTCACTCTGTTACTGTAATACAAAACATATATTTAAAAAATCTGGAATTGAATTTCAGGGCAGGCCCGTTGGTTCTAAAGCACAGCTTCCTCACGCGCGTTGATACGATTTGGGGGAAAACAGCTACAAGGCAACACATGATGGGATATTAATTTTTGTAGGCTTGGTTTCTTTGTTGATGCATTCTCTTCTACAGTGTCACAAAAGAAATTACTGTCATGAGTGGCTTATTGCCAGTTGGATAATGGGAGTGGTGTCGTGTATAGTGTAAGTGCTAAATAACATGGCCTCGGGAGCATGGTCCCGTATCCACAAGGGTCACATTGCCACTTGTCAGACTGCCGATATCTCACTGAATTTCTGCAAGCAGGGCCAGCACCAAGCACTGGCACCGAACCCATTCACTTCCGCCCACGTACTAACCACAAAACAGATTTCCCTGCTACAAAACAACAAATTCCGTGGCTTTAGTCCGAAAGCGAACTATACCGACCGAGCGACCGCCGCTCTTCGGCGAAGGGTTAGTGCCAACTTCAGCGGATAGAGGCTGTCGCGTGGTCAGTGTAACGGATCCCCACGGCCGTTAATCTCGGTTTTCTAGACCGGAGCCACTACTTTTCCATTCAAGTAGCTCCTCGGTTATTCTCACGGGGCTGAGAGGATCCCGTTCCAGACCAATAACTTCTCACAAAATCTTGTAACGCCAGAAATCGAACCCGGGACCTCTGGATCTGTAGCCAGCAACTCTGACCACCAGACCACGGAGGCTGCTATCGCGTTTAATGCTATTCTCCCATTATGAGCCCTCGCAGTCAGTGCAGCTACAACGGAAGGATGACCGCGTTGCATATGGCGTTCCCACAGTAGTGAGTTTGAAGAGAACGGTGTTCCATGATTTTTACTGACTACGTGGCGGTACAACCCAGAACACCGGTCTTCATGGTCACGCCGTAGCCTTTGTTGTTTTTGTTGTTTTCGTCACTACTGTATGTTATTTTCAGAAATCGCACAAAATGAATTGACAGAAAGCAGACCTTGCGCTGCACCTCCGAAAATTCTGAAGGAATGCCAAACTAAATCTGGCGGCGGGGGCACTAAGCTTTGTTGGAAGAATTTGGATTTGATTCGTGTCGGTGTCACGTAGCCCCAATTTCATATATGAAACTCGGAGAAAACACGTTAGGGTACATAACTTACTTATGGAGCTGAGCCCTTCTTGAGGAGAAGCCAATTCTGCAGCTACTCCAGAACTTCACAGCATTTTATGGAACCCAAAGGTTCATTACCGTGCTCACAAGAGCCCTCCACTGGTTCCTACCCTGAGCCAGATCAATCTAGTTCATACCACCCCATTCTATCTCTCTAAGATCCATTCTAATATTGTCCACCCACCTACGTCTTGTTCTTCCCAGTCGTATCTTTCCTTCTGGCTTTCCCACCAATATCCTATATGCATTCCTCTTCTATCCATTCGTGCTACATGCCCTGCCCACCTCATCCTCCTTGACTTGATCATTCTANGTTTTTGGACATCAGACGAGAAGACAAAAGGTTCTGGACTGAATGGTAGCATGCATTACCCGATTCAATCGCCTCTTAATTTCCTCCTGAATCAGGTTTTGATTTTTTACAGTCGTATATAAAGTACATAAAGTAAAACAAATTTAAGCAAGATATCCATGTCGTCGTCATCATCATCACTGGCAAAACACCCCTATCCCTTTTTTAGCCATAGCCTTCCTTAGAAAATTCTGCCACATTCGACCATTTCTGGCAATCTTTTCACTTCTCTCGTTTTCGCAACAGTAATTTTTTATTATAAAGCAAAGTCGTCAACCTTCCATCCGACCCCCAACCTTGAGGGCCAGAACTTTGTATTTATGACCCCCCCCCAGTTATTCCCCCAGACAGAGATCTTCCTTTTCATCATCATCAACATCTACGACTCCCAGAGCTATGGTGGAGGTATTCTAACCCGCCTGCACACGGGGGCTCCGTGTAATCTTAAACTTTTACTTGAAACGTTTTTCGAGTTGGTAAAAAAGAGGACATACATGAAGAGTAAGCTCAAACTCTGTGCAATGGGATATATGTGGTACGATTAGCTTTGCAACAAGAGATGTCTGTCTGCGATAAACACCAAGGGCAGTGAGATAGCAAAACAAAAGAGTAGACATTTCAGAAACATATGTTCCAATGTTGTTAAAATTATTTAAACGTTTTAGATGTGTAGGTCTATAAGCATGTTATTCTTTGCATATTTTATGGTATAATACACGAATTATCATGCATTAACGCAATTAAAATTTCATAACAAAAATGAGTTTTAATTTCGTCTTTCGTGTTACTTCTACACGAAAATTAAAGTACTGCTTTGGGAGATAAAATTATTTTGTGTACATTTTAATTAGCAGAACAGTGTTATTTTAAAATGGCCCCAAAAATGACTTGCCTCGTTGCTGCTTCTTAAGCGCGTGCCGTTTTGCCAAACTGAACAGCTGAAACACGAAATTAATTTTAAGTCACCCCCTCCCATTTTTAAGTGTAAGGACGGGTCTATTAGTTGACCCCCTGGCTTATTGTATTTCAGTAACAGAGTCAATTGTGGAAACTGTCATACAGAACACGAAGAAGGTTTAAGTTGTAATATGACCAGCGTTACACTTTCGTATTGCCCGAGAGTTCGAAGCATTACAGTCAATATACAATGCTAACCTACTATACGTACTATACGAGTCTACAACACACGATAAATTGCAATTAAACACAATGATAGACCTGGATTTTCTGACTGGTGTTACTGCACTTCCGGCTGACATGTAGATCATGGATTTTCTTGATTGGTGTAACTGAACTTCCGGCTGACAGGTGGCTTACCATTGATTTTCTTGATTGGTGTAACTGAACTTCCGGCTGACATGTAGCTTAACATGGATTTTCTTGATTGGTGTAACTGAAC